CTAAAAGGTAATTATTGAAGTTTCTTAAAAATTGCAATAATTACCTTTGCAGTGTCACTTACACAATCTCTCACTGGCATAAACACTTACACATTCTAACTCTAACTTACACACTAACACATACACATTTTCACTGATCTACACGTTATCACTTACACACTCTCACTAACACACACAGTGTCACCTACACACTCTCACTGGCATACACATTGTCAGTTACACACTCTAACACAGGGGTCCTCAAACTCCGGCCCCCCAGGTGTTGCTGAACTACAACTTCCATGATTCTTTGGCTATCTATGTAATGCAAAGAATCATGGGAGATGTAGTTCAGCAACATCTGGAGGGCCGCAGTTTGAGGTCCCCTGCTCTAACACCACACAGTGTCACTTAAACATACTCACTAACAGTGTCACTTGCACACTCTCACTAACACACACACAGTCACTTGCACATTCTCACTAACACAGAGTCACTTGCACACTCTCACAAACACACACACAGATTCACTTGCACACTCTCACTAACACACACACAGATTCACTTGCACACTCTCACTAACACACATACTGTCACTCAAACACAAACTCACACCACTTCACATATACTCACACTTTATTTACACACACAAACACACCAATTTAACACACTCCCCCATTTACAAACATGCACACAATAAGCAATCCCCCTTAACCATGCCATACATTGGTGCTCTAAAGAGAAGAGGTCCAGGTAGCAGGTTCCAGGATGTTGCTCTTTCTCCTGGGGGAGCAGAAGAGCCGCACTATGAGCACAGGCTACTTCCTGCTCCCTTCACCGTGCTTCCAGTGTTTACAGTCTCCCCCTGCCTGCAGGAAGCACAGTGCTCTGCTCGGGTTACAGCTAACCACACTGGCCGAGCAGGTAATTGACTGCAGAGGGAGCCCAGCAGGGGAGTGGCTGTGCTGGGGGGTGGCTAAGGAGCTGCTCACCCAGCCCAGCATTCCCAGACAGCTATAGCAGAGCAGGCCACCAGGAAACCTCTCGGTGGGCGCCCCCCAGAGGTCGGCGCCCCAGGTGAATGCTTTATTTGCCTTAATGGTAGCGCCGGCCCTGTGTGTGTGCAGTGAGCTTGTCTGTAGTAAGCATGTGTGAGATCGTGAGCTTGTCTGTAGTGACCATATGTGTGTCAGTGAGCTTGTCTGAAGTGAGCATGTGTGTGTCAGTGAGCTTGTCTGTAGTGGATCTGTGTGTTAGTGAGCTCTTCTGTAGGGAGCATGTGTGTGTCAATGAGCTTGTCTGTAGGGAGAGTGTGTGCGCATCAGTGAGCTTGTCTGTAGTGAGTGTGTGTGACAGGGAGCTTGTCTGTAGTAAGCTTGTGTGTGTATTAGAGTTTGTCTGTACTAAATTTGTGTGTGTACCAGTAACCTTGTCTGTGTGTGTCATTGAGATTGTCTGTCAATGAGCCTATTTGTGTGCATCAGTAAGGTTGCCTGTGTCTGTATGTGAGTATGCTTTACTGTATAATTCAATTATCCTGAAAGGACTAATATTTTGAATTAGAAAAATAAATACACCAAATATATATATTTGAAGGCTTGGCCTGGAGTTGTGGGAGGGGCTTGGTTCACCTTTAAAAGGGCTGCCAATCCACACCCACCTTACCGTTGCTGGTCTGGCGAGTCTGAAACGTTACTTCTGGTTCAGACCGCCATC